ACTTGTGGGGTTTTATCAAGAAGCAGAAGGGTTTCACCTCGTCCGAGCCCGCCAAGGTGTGCGCTGCCATCCGCAAAGGCTTCCTCGCCTGTCACCTCGCCATGTGGAAGAAACTGGGTAAGTTCCCGGGTTTGTGTGGCGCCCGCTTCTTTTTTCTTTTCTTCTCTTTTTTCTGGGCTTTTTATAGCATCAGGACCGCGTGGGCCTCCCCTGGTACTAAGAGCGCTATCCATCAAGTGACGCTGTCCACTAAGGGATGCGAGTGAAGACTGTCAGGGTTGGAGCTCTGGGCACACCGAGTGGACTCGGAAATGCTAGGATGGCTTGTCTCCCAGCAACCGCTCCTTGCTTTTTCGCCTCCCTCCCAGGATCAGGGGCAACAGTCCCCTCTCCCGTCGCTAATTCACTTTGGTGACAGCAAGTGTTTGAAAGCCGGCGCCAGAATCTAACCAAAATATAAATTTAAGAAACGTTTCTACGTGGGCCAGGTGATGGAAGCCGGAGGTGGCAAGAACTGGAGCGTTCCCTTAGCATCTGTCATAATTTTGTTCTTGATGGGCTTGTCCCTCTTGGTTGCCTCCTACCGGTGGTGTCGCTTCTTCATATTGACCCCGATGGCTCCGTGTAAGCCAATTTAGAAGGGCTGAAGTGTAACACGGGCAACTTATTTTTGGAAGCAGTTCTGTTGCGATCGTGTTTTAGGGTCGTCCCTTGAATTGCTTATGAAAAAGGAGTGCAACGTGTTAAACATTAAATTATCCCCAATATGTGTTAACTTCTTGGTGAGTGTGTGTGTGTATGTGTGTGTTAGTTACCTTAGCTAATTGTATTCAGTTTCCAGAAGTTGATAGTAAAAAGCACTCATGTAAATACCCATCAGCGTAGCTTTTGGTAAAGGGACCTTAGTTTAATTCCTAACAGTTCGGTGTAATTGTAGTTTCAACTAAATTTTGAATGTTTGTGAAGCAGACAATACCTATATGTATAACATAAATGACACAGGATTGTGGTTGCTTATTTTTTGCTGTGGCTATTTAGTGCCTATCTTTGTTACAGAAAAGAATTAATGCTCCTGCCACTAAAAACGCTTTGTTTATAGTGGCGTTAGAAAATAGCTCTATTTTCATCAAAGAAACAGCGACATAGAGAAAGCTGTTACAGATTTGTAAAATACACAGTATTTTTAGAAAGGCATTGTCATAGAGTGTAGACTAGCTGGTTTCAAAGTCTGTTTTCCATCTGTTGGGCTTTTTGCCAAGTATTTGATTGACTTAAAGACCAGCCACTAAGCTTTTTGGAGGCGGTTCCCAGCCAATCCCTGGGGCCCCTATGATGGATTTATTTTGTTTTCGTGTGTGCAGAATAGAGCTCAAAGCTCTGTAGTTTATTCTAGAAATACATTATATTATTGGCTGGAGAGGAATTAAAAGTAGATATCGAGACAAATAAGATGAAGAATAGACACAAAGAACTATTATGGAGTCCATTTATTTTGTAGTACACTTGGGACACATGAATTTGCCATATGCTTTAACTTTGAAAATCAAAGCCTTTAATATTTGAGCTTTAGCCAGGTGTGGTGGTACATGTCTTTTATCCCAGTACTTGAGAGGCAGAGGTAAGCAGTACTCTCTTGAGTTGAGGCCAGCCTGGTCTACTCTATATAGAGAGTTCAGGACAGCCTGGGTTTGTAGAGAGACCCTCTCTTAAAAAAAAAAAAAGATTCATATTGGAGTGTGGTGGCTGATGAAGGAGGATCAGTGCAAGTTCAGGACCAAGACAATAAAATGAACTGCCTCAAAGAAAGGAAAAAGTTTGAGCTCTAGATTTGGCTTTATTTTATTTTATTTTATTTTATTTTGTGTGTGTGCTGGTGTTGAATTTAATGCAGGCTCTCTCACATAAGCATAAGCTCTGTCTCTGTGGTCCCTGAGTATCCCTTTAAAAAAGCAGAGACTATGCTGGCAATTGTGAATGCATTTTTTTTATTACATATACACACTTCAAAAAATTTCTATTTTAAAATTATGTGTATGTGTGTAGATACATGCATGTGGGTGCAGATGCCTGGAAAAAAATTAGCTCTCCCTGGAGCTGAGGTTACAAGCAGATGGTTATGAGATACCTGAAGTGGGTTCTGGGACTTGAACATGGGTCTTCTGAAAGAACAGTAAATGTCATTTACCTGTACTTCTTATGTCAAGATTCTAATTTACTCAAAATACTTAATATTCTTTTTTAAATTTAAGTTTTGAAACTTAAGTATTTTGAGTAAATTAGAATCTTGACATAAGAAGTACAGGTTAATCAATGTGGTGTGGTGCATGCCTTTAGTTCCAGAATTCTGGAGGCAGAGGTAGGTAGATCTCAATGAGTCTGAGTCCAGTCTGATCCACACAGTGAGTTCCAGTACAGCCAGAACTGTTACACATAGAAACCCTGTCTTGAAAAACAAAACAAAACAAAACAATTTCATTTTCATTTGGCATGATGGCAAATGCCTTTAATGCTAGCAACTGGGAGGCAGAGACAGGTGGATCTATGAGTTCAAGGCCAGCCTGGTCTACATAACAAGTTCCAGGACAGCCAAGGCAATATAATGAGACCTTTTCTAAAAAACAAAACAAATACACAGGCACACACATATATTAAAGGGGTTGGGGCAACTACAGAGATGGCTCAGTAGTTAAAAGTACTTGTTGCTTTTTCAGAAGACCTGGGTTCTGTGCCCAGCACCCACATGGCTGCTTGCAGCCATCTGTAACACCCTTTCCAGGGGATTCAACAAAATCTTCTGACCTTCCTGAACACCAGGCACACATATGATGCACATATGCTCATGAAAGCAAAACTCACACACATAAAATAAATATAAGAAAGTTTTCAATTTTTGGCTTACTGCTGCCCTCAAACCAAAAATATATGGATTATACAGATTCTTTTTTGGTTTTTTGAGACAGGGTTTCTCTGTGTAGCTTTTATCCTGGCATTGGCTCTGGAGACCAGGCTGGCCTTGAACTCACAGAGATCTGCCTACCTCTGCCTCCCCAGTGCTGGGATTAAAGGCATGCGCCACCAACGCCTGGCGGATTTTATAGATTTTAAGACAGTGTTTTCTTATGTGACACCAGTTTCTTTTAGAATTGAGCATTCTTATTTCTGTTGGTGCTCATTGAGTTAGCAGCAGTTCTCAAATATTTTGCTTTTTAGACATTTATTTTTGGTGCTGGGGATTGAACTCGGAACCTCACATGTTACATCCTGGCACTGCCACTGAGCTGTTACCCCAGACTCCTGTACTGTTATTAATGACCCAAGAGCTGTTGTTTATGTGGGCTACATCTGTGTCGACAAAAATCCTACTTAGCAAGTGGTTGTATCTTAAAGTTAGTTGAATTGTGATCTGAAATCTCATTAATGAAAATTTTATAGTCATACATTAAAATCCTTATTCCATGAATTTGAATGAGGGTGTGTGTGTACATGGGAGGGTTTTGAGGAAGTTACTCCAAAAGAAAGAATGACTCCACCTCTCAGCATCTGCCTCTTGTTTATAGCTCCTCAGTATGCAATAACCCCTGGAGATCATCTGCCTATTCAAAATTTTTTTCCATTACCCTTATCTTGCATATGTTAGGGAAGTCTGCTATTGAGTTCTCAGCCCCAGCTTCCTCTTCCTGCGCTTTGAATCAGTCTTGTACTCATGTGTGAGTTTTGACATGGTGTATCATTCATTTGGAAAATAATAACACAGTGAGTTAATATCTTCTGAATATTGATGTATTTCAGTATATAACATAAAAATTAAGTTGACTACTCTTCATTGATGCCAGTAGAAAAGATTTTCTTGGGAAGATGAAGGCCACTCCTGCTGGATATGCATGTTCCCAAACTGAGTCTTCTGAACAATTAGAAATTTTTCATGCACCAGCCTATTATTCTTGAACGAAAACTCATTTTGTTTTGAAGACAATATATGTCAAATGACCAAGCCTTCTGTTTTCTGATAGGATATTTTTTGTTTTGTTTTGTTTTTCCAGACAGGATTTCTCTGCATAGCCCTTGCTGTTCTGGAACTCACTCTGTAGACCAGGCTGACCTCAAACTCAAAGATCTGATAGGATCTTAACTGTCACACTGTCACACAGCCCAGGGGCCATGGTCTTCCTTTCTTCGACTTTGGGGTGCTGTGATTTCAGCCGTGTACCATCACATTGAGCCTACTCATTCCCCTCCCCCCATGGTTTCAAATAGTTCAGGGAATTCTCTTGAATTTACTGCACATGAATTTCTGATCTTCCTGCTTTCACTTCCCAAATGTTGGGAGGCTACAGTATGTTACCAGGCTGCCTTTGAAGTTTATGTGCATGTGTGGGTTAGATATCATTCCTCAGGTGTACTGTCTGCTGTTTTTTTTTTTTTTTTTTTTTTTTGTTGTTTGTTTTGTTTTGTTTTGTTTGTTTTTAAAGACATGGTCTCTACCGAGCACTCATTAAGTAGGCTAAGCAGTCTGGCCAGTGACCCTGGGTATCTTTTTCTGTCTCCCTAAGGCTGGGATCACAAGCTCTTAGCACACCCGACTTTTTATGTGGGTTCTGCAAGCACTTCACCAACCGACCTGTCTTCCCAGGCCCTTGGTTGTGAAATTTTAATCCTGTTACTTCAGGCTCTTGAGTGCCAGGTTTACAGGTATGCCTTACCAAGCCCTTCCCCCAACCCAACTCTAAGTGTATAGCTGTGGAGAATACAGTGACAGCTAGCTCACTCTGAGGCTTCTGTCATGACCACTGCCAAGGCACTTAAAGTTTTACCAAGTATTGCTTTTGCACAGCCCAAGGGACAAGTGAGCTCTTAGAATGATTTTGAGGAACTGCTCTAAAGATCCCATAGACCACTGAGAGAACAGCATGTCCGAACGTCTGCCTCTTGCTGAATCTTGAGGTTTTTGTCTGCCTTACTCACAATGAAAATTCTTAGGGTTACCCATGTAGCACACAAAGTAGCTGCTCAGCAGTCAGTTGAAGTTAGCTGAATTTCTGTCCAGCTCTGTAGACCAGGCTGGCCTCAAACTCAGAGATCTGCCTGCCTCTGCCTCCCAAGTGCTGGGATTAGACTTCTTTATATTTTTAACAAACACATGGATCAACTTATTACTTTAATTATTAGGTGTGGGGGGTGTAGGTGAGAGGACAATTTGTAAGAATGGGTTCTTGTTCCACTGTGTGAGTCCTGAAGATAAAGTTCAGGTTGTCAGGGTTGGCGGAAAGCACCCGTACCTGTGTAACAGGCTCACTCTGTTGGGGAGTGAAGCACAGGAGGTGTTAATGGCAGCTTCCTAGCTGTTCAGGACCAGTCCGGGCCTCCACATACATGTCTATATATATATGCCTGTTCACTGAACATGTGTATGTATATATACACTTGGATATACAAACTGATTGTGCATTGGGCCAGCGAGGTGACTCTGGATAGAGGCACTTTCTGGAAAACCCAATTACCTGAGTTTGACCCCTAGAAACACACTTAATGGAATGAGAACTGACTCCCTCAGGTTGTCTTCACACCACCTGTAAGCCATGGCTCACATCTCCTCCTGCCCACCAAATAAATAAATAAATAGTAAGTAAATAAATAAATGTAAAAAAAAAAAAAACCAAAGCTAATCAGTGAAAATATGGAACAAACTATGTTAGCTCCCTAGGAATGCTGTATCAGATAACCAGTAACTGAGAGGCTTGAAACAATGGAAACTTTTGGATGCCAAAAATTGAAAAGTCAAGGAGTCATGAGAGTGGGTTCCTTATGGAGAATCTGTTCTATGCCCCTTCTGGTTGCTGCCAGTGGTCTTTTGCCTTTCTTGGCTTGAAAGGCGGAGTTATCTCTGTCTCAGCCTCTATCTAGGTTTTGTATTTCCTTCTCTGAATTGTCTTCTCTTTCTCTTCTGAGAACACTTTTTTGAATTAGTGCTCACTCTAATCCAGGATGATCTCTTTTTAAGATTTTTTTTTTTTTTTAAGATTTTATTTATTTATTATGTATACAACATTCTGATTCCATGTATATCTGCACACCAGAAGAGGGCACCAGATTCCATTACAGATGGTTGTGAGCCACCATGTGGTTGCTGAGAATTGAACTCCGGACATCTGGAAGAGCAGTCGGTGCTCTTAACCTTTGAGCCATCTCTCCAGCCCCTGATTCCATTCTTTATGCAGAAAACTGAATACGTCACTGCCAGTGTGGGTTTAATCCCACCCACTTCCCCTGCCCCTATCTGGATGCCCTGGGTCCCATGCTCTGGCTGTGTGCTAGTTCTTCACATGACCTTTTAGCCTTTTATTGCTATGATAAAACACTGTGACCAAAGGCAACTTGGGGAGAAAGGGGTCTATTTGAGCTTATGCTTCCAGGCCATGGCCCTTCACGGAGGGAAGTCAGAGCAGTAGCCTTGGAGGAGTGCTGCTCTCCTGGCTTGCTCAGCCTGCTTTCTTAAGTACTTGAGGGACCAAACAAAAGCCATACACCTTAAAATGATATTCTGAGCCATCTCTCCAGCCCTCTTTTTAAGATTCTTAACCTGCTTACATCTGCAAAGACCCCTTTCCAAATAATGCCAAATTCATAGGTTTCAGGGAGATAACAATTCACTAAAAGTCTATTTTCATCATCTTATGTTTCTTCTCCCCAAATACTTAATTCCAAAGGAAAAAGACTACAATGGAAAACCTGACAGACACTTCCTAAATTATCAAACAGCAGCAGTTTAAATTTTTTTTAATGAATTTTATTTTTATTTTTATTTTTTTATTTTTTATTTTTTGGTTTTTCGAGACAGGGTTTCTCTGTGTAGCTTTGAAGCCTATGAATTTATTTCTTTTAGATAGAGTCTCACTCTGTGGGTGGGTATGCTGGTGATGCCTGTAACCCCAGCACAAGGGCTACTGCAAGTTTGAGCCAACTGGGGTACAGAGTGACACCCTGTCTCAAAATGAAATGAAATAATTAATTATGCAGTCTTAAGAAACCAGTTTAAGATTGATGGGCTGTCTTTAATCCCAGCACTTGGGGCAGAGTCAGGCAGATCTCTGTGGGTTAGAGTGCAGCCTGGTCTATAAAGCAAGTTCTAGGACAGCCGTGTCTACACAAAGAAATCCTGTCTCAAAAAAAAAAAAAAAAAAAAAGATTGATGAAGAATGAGAATCTTGTTTGTAGGAATTAGGTACTATAAGTATTTACTTGCTCTTAGTTCAAGAAAATAAGTTGACTTTTTGTCAGAACTGAAAGGAATATACAGAACTGAAGAAACAGATCTCAGAAAGGTCAAAAGCCTGGGGACTTGCCCAGATTCTAGGGCAGTTTTGTTGTAATAGGCTATATTTATTTCAGTAAAAAACATGAATTTGAAGTTGCAGCCTCATTTCGTTTTCTAATCATCATTTGATTTCTTATTGTGTCATTTTTCAAGGGTTCTGAGACTTATTTGAGACAAGTATTTGGACTGTCCTGGAATTCACTGTGTATTTCAGGCTGTCCTGGAATTCACTGTGTATTTCAGGCTAGCCTTGAGCTCACTTGGCAGTATTCCTGCCTCAGACTTCCAGGTGCTGGGGTTACAGACTTAGGCTGCCATGCTTGGCTATCTCTCAGATTGTTGCAATGAATAAACTGTATATGGATATTTATGATCATCAGTTCTGCTCCTCTTGTATTTTACTATCTGTACCAGTTTCTGTGATTTTTAGAGACTTGTGATAATTGCTTTCAGTGTGTTCTGGAGGAGAGTATTATTGTCATCATGTCCCAAAGGCCTATATATGGTCTGTTCTCCCCGTAATAGACTTCCTAATGTTGCAAGAGCTAGGAGGATATTCTAGGCTCTTTTTTTGAATCCGAGCCTCTCTTATGTTCTGACTTTGCATAAGAGTATTGTATCAGTGTCCACTGTACTATATCTATTTGTACAATTTTCTTTTGACCAAAATCGTGTTTTTTTTTTTTTTCCATTTATCCTGTGTTTATTTTGTATATGTGTGTGGATGCATGTGAAGTTCAGAGGGCCACGAGTATTCCAGAGGCTTGGGAGCAGGTGCCTTTGCTCACTAAGCCATGTTTGTAAAAAATTTTTTTCTCTTCCATTTTTTGAAGATATGGTCTCTACTCAGCCCTGTTGTCCTGGTACTTACTATGTAGACTGGAGTTCCACTTGCTTTTGCCTTCCAGGTTAAAGGCACATAGCACTATGCCTGACTGTAAATTTTATTTTTTGAATCATAGTGTATGTAGCTCAGGCTACCTTGGAATTCTGTATGTAGCTGAGGATGACTTTGAACTCTTGATCTTTTTTCTTCTACTTCCTAATACTGATATTATAGGTGTATACCTTCATGTCAGGTTCAGAAATGTGATTTAAGCCAGGCCATGGTGTTGCATGCCTTTAATCCCAGCACTTGGAAGGCAGAGGCAGGCAAATCTCTGTGAGGCCAGCCTGGTCTACAGAGTGAGTTCCAGGACAGGCTCCAAAGCTACAGAGAAATCCTGTCTTGAAAATAACAACAAAACAAACAAATAATACTACTTTATTTTAGGTGGGTTTTGCACATGACTCAGTTACTGGTATGTCTTCAGTAAATTTTTGTTTTTCTGATTTTATCTTTTGTTGTTGTTTGCTTGGTATTTTTGAGGCACAGACTATGTAGCCCTGGTCAGCTTAGAATATGATATGTAGACCAGGCTACTCTTGAAATCAGCTCTTCTGCTTCTACCTCCCCAGTGTTGTGACAACATGTGTGCCGCTGAAGGTCAACAGAATGTCAGTAATGAATAAATATACTGTCCAGTTAGGGAAGAGAACATTGCCTGTATTATAGATGTACCTTTATGCCCATGTGTTTGTACACGTGGCTGGGTATTGAATCTAGAAGTTAGTGCATGTTAGGTAAGTTCTCCTATCTTGAGAAGGTTTCATGAAGTTGCCCAGGCTTGCCTTGACTTGCATCTGTTGCACATGCAAGCCTTGCAATGTTGATCTTTCTGCTTCAGCCTCCCTAGTAGTTGGGATTAGTTTTCTGCCACTGTAGCTTCATATTTGTATCTACTTCCAAGGCGTAACCATCACTTCAACTTTAGTTCTGTGCTGCTTGTTTTTTTTTTTTTTTTTTTTTTTTTTTTTTTTTTCTAAGTCGTTTCACTAAGTCTGTTGAATGCAATATATATTGCAGAAACTCAACACTGTATACCTTCTTTTACCTCATGCCTTTATAGGGTTCTTGTGCTTTGTATATGGTTAGGAGGACATTAGGATTGAGGTTTATTTTTAGTCTTCATGAATAGTGTTGCTTTGGCCATTTGTTTCTATTTGTATTTCTGCAGTAACCTAGGGGGTGGTTGAAGAATATGCCTGTCTTCACCTCTCATACATGATACCCAAATGTTCCTGCAGTATGCCCATTTACATTCATACTTTCATCAGTGGTTGATTACAGTTTGTGTTGCTCAGCATTTCTAACCACATTTGCTATGTCATATTTTAAGCAGATTGGTACTCATGTAGTGGTAGCTTGTGTTTTTTTTTTTTTTAATTATTTACAAGATAACTGAAGAAAAAACAATGAATACCTTTGCATGTTTTTTGTCAGATTTTTCTCTTTGGTTCAAGGCCTATTTAGGCATATTGTACTTTTTTCCTTTAGGTGGCCTGTCTGACTGATGTGAGTTGTAGAAACATTTTTTTTTTTTTTTTTTTTTTGGTTTTTCGAGACAGGGTTTCTCTGTGGCTTTGGAGGCTGTCCTGGAACTAGCTCTTGTAGACCAGGCTGGTCTCGAACTCACAGAGATCCGCCTGCCTCTGCCTCCCAAGTGCTGGGATTAAAGGCGTGCGCCATCAACGCCCTGCGAGTTGTAGGAACATTTTATATAGAGTTTTTCATTCTGTGAATTATCTTTTCATTTTGTTACTGGTAGTTATTACTAATGCTAATTCAGGATATATTGCTTGTTATATTCTAATAACTGTGCTTATGTATATACCTGGAGAAGTAAAATATAAAATATTTTCTTTCTTATTACAGCAGAATGGCCAAAGACTATGACAGGTCTTCCTAGCACATCTGGGACAACTGCCAGTGTGGTTATCATACGGGGCATGAAGATGTATGTAGCTCATGTAGGTGACTCTGGGGTGGTCCTTGGAATTCAGGATGACCCAAAGGATGATTTTGTCAGAGCCGTGGAGGTGACACAAGATCATAAGCCAGAACTTCCCAAGGAAAGAGAAAGAATCGAAGGACTTGGTGGAAGGTAATCATTTGTTTTGTCTTATTTTGGTTTTGTTTAGTTAGCTGTGTACTTTCTGTCTTGTCTTTCTACTTCCCCCAGCACTCCCTTTTAATTGAGACAAGGTTTTGTTATATAGGCCAGCCTGACATTAACTCACTGTGTAGCACAGGCTGGTCTACAACTTGTGATCCTCTGCTTTAGTCTCCTCAATGCTGGGATTATACCCATATCCTTTCTTTCTTTCCCTCTTTATTTTATTTTTTGAAATAGAATCTTACATAGTGGAGCCTGACCTGGAACTTGTGATTTTCCTGAGTCACTGCTGACATATGACATTTATATTAATTAGATTAGCAGAACAGCTAATCTATGCCATGCGCTTTGCAGATACTGTTTTTACAGTTTACTTTATCATAATCCTGGATTTTTTTTTTTAAATACTCTCCTTTTTAAGTCTCTTGTGGCTTGTACATAAGTATAGTGAGATAAAACACCAAGTAACAGGAATGGCATTGTTTTCCATTTTTGCAGGTCTCTGCAGTGTTTAGTAGGTGGTAGCTAGGGTTATATCTTCTTTTACTCTGTCATAGAATGCTACCTTGGTTGCAGTAGCTGCTCTCTCTCTCTCCCTCTTTCTCTCTCTCTCACGCTCTCCTGTCTCTCCTCTCAAAACTTAATTTCCTTTGAGACAATGTGGACCAGGTTGGCCTCAAACTCAAAGGTCCTCCTACCTCTGCCTTCCAAGTACTGGGATTAAAAGTGTGTGCCACCAAGCCCAGGAGAGAGAAACTTTATTACCTGGGAAGTAGTTTTATTATCCATCAGCAACTACGAGGGTGTGTGCCTATTTGAGGCCATCTTGGGCCACATAGCAAGTTCCAATCTAGCCTGATCTACATAATAGAGATACTTTTTCAAAGATCAAAACAAATATTAACTATTCTTTCTCTGCCTATTCAGAACCCATTCCCTTTCCCGTGGCAACCACTGACCTGCTCACGGTCATAGTTGTGCTTTTTCCAGAATATTATACATTTAGAACTTGTAGAAGCCGCATACAAGATTTTGTAATACATGAATTCATCATTTAGCTACTTATTCCTGGGGTTCTGTAGCATAGCTAGTTATTGCTCTGCTGAAAACTACCTGTAGACACATGACCTTCTCATTATGATGAAAATGCGAGCTAAATGAAAAGATTAGCTAACCTTTTACACATGCTCAGAAAGCTTTGGCATTTCCTGAGGAATTGCCAGATCATATTTTGAGAAACACTTTGTTAATGTGCACATAGTTTTACTTTTTTAAATTTTAATTTTAAACTGGAATTTCAAAAATCTAAGCAATGAAGTAGAGACACAGGTTAAATTTTTTTCAGATGGCAGCTAGTAAACTAGTTGGACAATTACACAGATCTTTTTTTTTTTAATTTATTTTGTATATTTTTCTGCCTGTATGCCAGCAAAGGGTACCAGATCTCATTTAAGGTGGTTGTGAGCCACCACGGGTTGCTGGGAATTGAACTCAGGACCTCTGGAAGAACAGTCAGTGCTCTTAACCTCTGAGCCGTCTCTCCAGCCCCCAAATTACACAGATCTTATTGGCCTCTTATTTTGTGGAAAGATGGCCTTGAGTTTATTATCTCCTTGTACTTTTTCTGGTTAAGATAAATGTCAGCTCTGTAGTATGGTGTCATTACTTATTGTAAAATGACCCTTGGATGAAGCTTCTTTTGGCTAGAGACAATACTTTCTATTTGCAAATAACACCTGTGGCTTCCAACAAGTGTTTTCATTTTAACTTGTGTACAGACCAGGTAGTTAGGGTCTTCATTTTATTTCATGTGTATATTTTGATTGTATGCCACATATGTGCAGGTGACCATGGAGTCCAGAAGAGGACATTGGATCCCCTAGACCTGGAGTTAGAGGTGGTGTGAGCTAACAGTGAGGCTGCTGGGAACTGAACTTGGGTCCTCTGTAAGAGTAGTAAGTGCTCTTCAATGCTGAACCAGCACTCTAGTCCTGTAGTTAGAAGATGCGGATTCCTGGGACATCTGAAACTTCCCTGTGTTTGGTGTTGGGGCTGATGCCTGCTATTCCATTATTCTAGAGGGTAAAGCAGTATTGCCATGAGTTGGTGGCCAGCACAAGTTATGAACTAAATTTTAGACAGGCCTGAATTACTCAGTGAGACCTTGTCTCAAACAAATAAGCAGCCCCCCCCCCCACTCCCATCTAAAGTAGACTGTGTGGCCTTGTTTATTTAAAACTTAGCTATTAAGCCAAGCATGGTGGCATATGCCTGTAACCCCTGTATTTGGATAGAAGCAGGGAGACTGCTGCAGGTTGGAGGCCAGCCTTGTCTACAAAGCAAGTTCCTGACCAGCTAAGGCCACATAGCAAAACCCTGTGTCAAAAAAGCTCCTGAGTTGTCATTTCTGTGGCTAGATTCCTGGGAATCCTAAAGATTGCCTTCAAGGTTTCCTTTGTCCTTGAAATTGCTGTCTTGGATACTTTTATTATTTTTGTTCTATAACCTGCAGCCTTACATGAATCTGCTTTCAGGCTATTGTCTATTTAATTTTTTTGTTTGTTTGTTTTTGGCTTTTTGGAGACAGGGTTTCTCTTTGTAGACCTGGTTGGCCTCAAACTCACAGAAATCTGCCTGCCTCTGCCTCCTGAGTGCTAAGATCAAAGGCATGCACCACCACTGCCTGGCTTAGTTTATTTAATCTTATCAGAGATAGTTGTACATATACTTGGGTCTTTTTTATGTTTGTTTGTTTTGTCTTTCTAGTATTGCAATCTGTCCCCCCCCCCCCCGTGTGTGTCTCTGTGTGTGTGTGTCTGTGTGTGTCTGTGTCTGTGTGTGTCTGTGTGTCAGTGTGTGTGTCAGTGTGTTTGTGTGTCTGTGCATAATGTTTCATGCATGCTAAGCAAGCACTCTACTACTGGGTTGTATCCCCAGTCCTTATTTTTTTAAATTTGATTTTTAATTATTCTTATTTTATTTACATTGATGTTTTCCTGCATGTGTATCTGTGTGAGGGTGTCAGATCTTGGAGTTACAGGTATTTGTGAGCTGCCAAGTGGTTGCTGGGAATTGAACCCAGTATATCTGGAAGAGGCTTGAACCTGGGTCTTCTGTAAGAGCAGCCAATGTTCTTAACCGCTGAGCCATTTCTTTAGCCTCAATAATTTTTGTTTATTTGTTTGCTTTTGTTTTTATTTATTTATTTGTTTTGAGACAAGGTCTCACTGTAGCCCTGCATGTCCTGGAACTTATGTAGATCAGGTTGGTCTCAATCTCACAAAAATCTATCTACCTCTGCTTACTGATTGTTGGGATCAAAGGCATGTGCCACCACACATGTCCCCCATAATCTTTTTAATTGAGGCATTATTTTTTGTCATTTCTGGAGCTCAGACCCAGGTTTTTGCAAATGTTAGGCAGATGCTCTGTCATTGAGTTGTGTCACTAGTTTTCCTCTGTTTTTTGTTTGTTTGTTTTGTTTTGTTTGTTTTTTTTCAAGACAGGGTTTCTCTGTGTAGCCCTGGCTGTCCTGGAACTCACAGAGATAGATCTGCCTGCCCTGCCTCCCAAGTGCTGTGATTAAAGGCATGTGCCATCATGCCCAGCATTGTCAATAATCTCTCTCTCTCTCTCTTTTTAAGATGTGTTTATTATGTATATAGTGTTGTGCCTGCATGTGTGCCTACACACCAGAAGGAGGGCACCAGATCTCATTATAGATGGTTGTGAGCCATAATGTGTTTGCTGGGAATTGAACTCTGGAGGTCTGGAAGAGCAGCTAATGCTCTCCAGCCTCACTAGTCTCTCTCTCTCTCTTTCTCTCTCTCTCTCTCTCTCTCTCTCTCTCTCTCTCTCTCTCTCTTTTTTTTAAAGATTTTATTTATTTATTATGTATACAACATTCTGCTTCCATGTATATCTGCACACCAGATCTCATAACGGATGGTTGTGAGCCATCATGTGGTTGCTGGGAATTGAACTCAGGACCTCTGGAAGAGCAGTCAGTGCTCTTAACCTCTGAGCCATCTCTCCAGCCCCCCTCACTAGTCTCTTACTACACATTTTTAATATTTGTGGGCCTGATTCCTGATTCCTTTTTTTTTAAGAAAATACTTCTCAAGATTATATTTATTTGTTTTTAATAATTTATTTAACTTTTATGTGCATTGGTGTAAAGGTATCAGATCCCTGGAACTGGAATTATAGACATTTGTGAGCTGTCATATGGGTGCTGGGGATTGAACCTGGGTCCTCTGGAAGAGCAGCCAGTGCTCTTAACTGCTGAGCCACCTTTCCAGCCCCTATTTTGTTTTCTAACTTGAATTTTTAAATATATATATATATATATACACACACATACATATATATTTTTAATTTTTTAATAGCATTTTTAAAAAGTTTATGGTTTTTGCCTTCTCACTTAAAAATACCATCTGGACAGTTGGACACATGCTTTTTGCCATTTGGGAGCAGGTGTCTTTTTGCACAAATTGAGCCATTTTATGATAAGTTATTTCCTGTCTTCCCTCTGTCCCGACCTAGGCGGTTGGCCAGCATTCTTGTTTTTGCAGCCTTCTGTTGATGCACAGTCAGCTCTCTGCATGTCAGGCTGTTCTCTCTATTTGCCTTTTAATATAGAACAACATCGGGGCATTGCAGTAAAAGTAGTGCCTTAGAACATTGCTTTGGTTTTAATTTTTTTTTTTTCCCCGTAAAGAGTAGCATTATTTGTCTTGTTTCTCAGACACCCAAAGACCATGATATCCTTGCTAATGAAATTTCAAGACAACTTCTAGAATATTTGTATTGGAGACAGCTACTGGAATTGCTTCTGTCCAGAGACTCACCTTGTCAGTTGTAGTCTTCTAGAAAGAACATTTTGGCTTTAAGATGCCTTGAAGACAGAGTGTTGGCATCCATTCTCATTATATTTGTCTTGTTTCATGTACTTGTGAATGGTCAGTCCACTTCATTTCTTTCCCCATTTTGCTGGTCCCTCCCCTCAATTTTATTTGAAGATGGGTTCTCATTATGTTGTCCAAGTGCCCTCAGATGTCATGATCCTTCTGCCCAGTAGGTGGGATTACAGGCACACATACACCATCACACTACCCACACCACCACACCTCGGGAACTGGTTTATCTACCTGGTGTTTGAAATGATGATCTGTCACTTTGGCCTGGCCTGGCTGACTGGCCATTAAGCTCCAGGGATCCTCATGCTGTCAGCATCACCGTGCTTTGATTTTATTTGGCTCCTGAGGGTAGAACTCAAGTTTTCTTGGCAGACTCTTTATAGATTCAGCCATCTTTTTAGCCCCTCTATTGGCATTTTAATAAAATCAGAGAGGGCTGAGAGATGGCTTAGCTTTTAAGAGCACTGGCTGCTCTTCCAGAAGTCCTGAGTTCAATTCCCAGCATCCACATGGTGGCTCACAACCATCTTCAGTCATGCAGGTGTACATGCAGATAATCTTTTAAAAAATTTCTGAGAATTTTTGTTTGTATGTGCCAAAGAAACTATGTTTAATTTGAAATTAGTAAGTTTTCTTTCCTTTTCTTTTCTTTCTTTTTTTTTTTTTTTTGAGACAGGGTTTCTCTGTGTAGCTTAGGAGCCTATCCTGGCACTCGCTCTGGAGACCAGGCTGGCCTCAAACTCACAGAGATCCACCTGCCTCTGCCTCCTGAGTGCTGGGATTAAAGGCGTGCGCCATCAACGCCTGGCAGTACATTTTCTTTTAAGTAGATCTCATTCTGTCATACCAAGCACAGAATGAGCAACTATCTCTATTATACTTTGATTTTCCCTCCAAATAATTAACCATACTTAAAAATGTTGGCCAGGTGGTGGTGGCACATGCCTTTAATCCCAGCACTCGGGAGGCAGAGGCAGACAGATCACAGTGAGTTGAGTACAGCCTAATCTACAGAGCTAGTTCCAGGACAGGCTCCAAAGCCACAGAGAAACCCTGTCTTGGAAAAAGTTTTAGGTATCCTTTGGTGACTAATGATTTTTATTGTTTTTATGGCAAAATTGTAGGAGGATTTTCTTATTCTGTAACTCTCAGATATATATCTATAAAGCTGTTCTCTATTTTCCAGGGCTAGTTTCATACTTTGAAATATATAGGAATCTTTAGTCCAAGTAGGCGTAGTCTTTGCAACAACCTTCCAAGGGATTAGTCTGAGTCATCATCATGCCTGGCTCCTATTAATCTTCAAGTCAGAAACATTGCAGCTGATATACTTTTTGTTTCCCTCATCCCCAAGAAACTGCAAAACCCTTTAAATTTATCTTATGGAAATGCTTCCCATTCATCAAGTCTCTTTTTCACCTTCCCTGTTATTTGAGTCTTGTCATCCTGTGCTTTTCTTTATCTAGCTCTTCATTTTCATATTATTTGCAGTTGGTTCTGTTTTCCCTTCACTAGTCAAATTTCTTTCATGTAAGTCCTCCACTGTTTTGTTTGTCTTTTTATAGCAGGAACCTTGGCTTATTATATCTTTGTATTTGAAACATACATCATTTTATGGTAATGTAGTATCATTGTATTGATTCCTTACATATCAGTTTTGGTTATATTTTAATCATTTAGACTTCTTATGAACTCTGTCCACTTTTTAGTGTGATGAACAAGTCTGGAGTGAATCGTGTAGTTTGGAAAAGACCTCGGCTCTCTCACAGTGGACCTGTTAGAAGGAGTACAGTCATTGATCAGATTCCTTTTCTGGCTGTAGCAAGAGCACTGGGTAAGATGGATTTATTTTATTTATTTATTTGGTAAGATGGATTTATATTTGGTAAAATCTTGTTATATTTTCTGACTAAACAGTGGTAGTATAAAAGATGATATGGAGAACTGAGGTGTCTTACATGATAAGATTAGAGATAATGAAAGTATGAAAATACTTTAAATGTGTGGGAAGAGTCAAAATATATATTTCAGTACCAGTTGTTCTTTGTGTTTGAGGTCTTTCTAATTTTCATCTATACTTAGGGATAGTTAGAGATCTGTCTGTCAACACTCAAATACATATATACACAGATGCCTGTGTGGGCTTAATGCTATAATTAAAACTTTTTTAATATTCTTGCTTACTGCAGCCTTTAGTATTCTTAAACTTCAGTGTTTTTTGTTGGTTTTTTAGCTAAGTAAATTGTCCATTTCAAATAAAAATAATTTTTTTTGTACATGTTCTGGTTTTAGAATGAAGACTAGATTTTTTTTTTGTTTTGCCTTGCTTGTTTTATTTATTTTTGAACAGAATGAATATAGATTTATTAAGGAAAATGAGAGACAACTCCCAAGAGTAGGGGTGGCTCAAAGGGAAGAATATCCTTGTTTTGTTTTATTTTTGAGAAGATCTCACTATTTCAAAGGCTGGCCTGGTATCACTGTATGACCCTGTGTGGCCTTGTCCTCACAGTGATTCTCCTTCTTCAGCCTGTAAGGTGTGAGTCCCCACACATTGCTGAGACTAGAGAATTACAGCTAATGAATTGCTTTGCTTTGGCTATCCTACACAGGGATAATTTTTCTAAAAACAATTCTTGGGGCTGGAGAGATGGCCCAGCAGTTAAGAGCATTGACTGCTCTTTCAAAGTAGCTGGGTTCAATTCCCAGCACCCACATGGCAACTTACACCTGTCTGTAACTCTGTTTCCAGGGGGATCTGACACCCTCACACAGACGTACATGCAGGCAAAACACTAACACATGTAAAATTAAAGAAATTCTATGAGAAAATACCAATTTATTTCTGTGAGGTAGATCCCTGAGTACCCTGGTGTTAGGTGTTTTGATAGGCTTTGGAGGTGTAATGGAAATAGACAGACTGTTGTCAAGGAATAAAGCCATGTAGTTAGGGAGTTACAGTAGGCAATGAAGAAGTAAAGTAACTTTAGATTATGAAATACCTTGAAAGAAAGAAACAGTGCTGCAATAAAGAAGAATCCAGAAAGGAAAAAGTATTTTACACACTGTGACTGAAATGGCATGTTTAGGACTCCCTATTTTAGCTGCAACTTGAAAGTAGGAATGAAAGCCCAGTGGTGGTGGTACATACTTTTGATCCCAGCATTTGGGAGGCAGAGGCAGGGGGATCTCTCTGAGGTGGAGGCCAGCCTGGTCTACAAAGTGAGTTTCAGGACAGCCAAAGCTACACGAAGAAATGCTCAAACAACAACAACAACAATAAAAAACTAGGGAATGGGTGATTTTTGTGAAAAATATTTCAGGCATGGATGCTGACATGGGAAAAATTGTGCATTATATCAGGGATTGTCAAAGTGCTGGAATTGGGATGGGAATATGACTCAGTTCCTAGAGTACCTGCCTAGTACATGCAAAGCCCAAAGTTTATTGTTTTTTTTTTTTTTTTTTTTTTTTTTTTTTTTTTTTTTTTTGGTTTTTCGAGACAGGGTTTCTCTGTGTAGCTTTGGAGCCTATCCTGGCACTGGCTCTGGCGACCAGACTGGCCTCGAACTCACAGAGATCCGCCTGCCTCTGCCTCCTGAGTGCTGGGATTAAAGGGATGTGTTACTAACACCTGGCCAAAGCCCAAAGTTTGATCCCAGTACTGAATAAACTAGGTATAGTGGTGCATACGTGTAATCCCAGTACTTGGGAGGTAGAGACAGAGGATCAGAAGTTCAAGGTCATCTTCAGTTGCATTATTGATTCATGCCTATTGGCTTACAAGACAACCTGTCTCAAAAAGGAACAGAAAGGGTGGGTTGTGAATCATACCTATAATTCCACCATTCAGAAAGCAGAGGGAGGAGGATTCTTCAAGTTTGAGACTAGCCTGGTCAGTGAGTTCTTGGTAGTGAGATTTTGTTTCTCAAACCCAAAAATACTGGGCCAAAAAATGGTACAGTAAAGCTTAAGGTTAAAGGTGCGTTTTATCATGCCTGACAGCCTGACTTTGATTTCTGGGTCCCACATTGTTAGAGAGAGAGCTGCCTCCCTCAAGTTGTTTGTATGTGCATCTCGTGGCACGTGTACACCCACACACGTGTGTGTGCACACATACTTAAATAAATAAAATGGAAAAAATGTTTAAAAACAACTGAGAAATAGTTGACATACATATGGAAAAATACTCAACTTCACTAGCTGTAATCAAAACTATGCTGAGATCTCATCTTACTCCAGTCTGAATGATAGTCATGTAGAAAATATCAAATACAGATGAGGATGTCGACTAAACAAGTAGGGGAAAATGTCGAAAGTAATTGAATCTAGGCGATAAGTATTGTCGTCTTTGTCTTTTATTTTGTTTTTGGAGTCAGGGTTTCTTCTGTAATAGCTCTTGCTGCCCTGTAACTTGCTCTATAGACCAGGCTGGCCTCAAACTCAGAGATCCACCTGCCTCTGCCTCCTGTGTGTTGGGATTAAAGGTGTGTGCCACCACCACCTGCCTTTGTCTTTTTTAAAAACTTATTTTTGACAATTTTATCACTGTATATAATGTGTTTTGATCATACTCGTCCTCATTACCTCCTTTTGTTCTCATCTTCTTCCTGAAGTCTTTTTTTCACATCTGTGTATCTGAGTACATACACAGGTGTGTGGTCCACTGAGTTTAATTGGTATTGCTTGCATGAGCTTGGTAATCACTGCTTACTGGAGTGTGTACAACTTCCCAGCAGCTGTGTCACTGAGGAAAACATTTCCCATTCTGAGCAACCTTTAACTGCCAGTGGAGCCTCAGAGAGGGATGGTGTGTTGTATCCTATTTGATATTTGTAATTGTTTTGAGGCAGGGTCTCATTGTGTAGCCTAGTCTAGTCTCCACTTCATCATCATTTAGCTTCTAATTCTTGAGAATTGAGATTAGAAGTGTATTCTTCCACGCCCAGATACATCTGGGATATAGACTAGTTGTAGATTGCTTGCCTAACATGTCTAAGGCCCAAAGTTTGATCCCCCATACTTCATCCCACCACATAGGAGGTACATCTGTTATTCTTGAATAGTTTGTTGTTCTTTTCAGTGCTAGATTAAGCTTGGGGCCTTACATATACCAGACAAGTGTTGTCAATCACTGAATTATACCCATGGCTTTGAGCAGATAAACATTTAGTGCTGTGTGTATGAAGTACAGTAAGTACAAGATCTTTATTGTCATAGCCAAGGAACAGGGAAAAGGCACTCATCAATTAATCATTTCCATAGAGAACTGGGCTGTTAACTACTTATATCTCAGCTGTCCTTTGCATTAGGGAAGTGTAGGCAGGAGGTTGTCAGTTCAAGACCAGTCTGGGCTGGTCTTGATAATGAAATTTGGTCTCAAAAACAAGAAGAAACAAATAAAAACCTGAGGGAAAAGATTCACAGTAGTTGAACACTTCCCTGACTTGACATAGGTCTTGGGTTGATCCAGCACTAGAAGAGACATGAAGGCCGCCATGTACATATACATAGTTGTGGAGCCAACACCATCCCTCAACTGTGTGTGCTCGTGCCTGTGTAGGGGTGAGGGATTAAAGAGTAGGTGCACACATGCCACAGTGCTTTCAGGAGGTTAGAGAACATCTCCTGAGATTTTCTTCCATCATATGGATGTTGGGGATCAGGATGTAAGGCTTGGTGGCAGGTGCTTTTACTGCCCCCCCCCTTTTTTTTGGAACTCACTCTGTAGACCAGGCTGGCTTTGAACTCAGGAGATCTGCCAGCCTCTGCCTTTCGAGTGCTGGGATTAAAGGCTCGAGCCACCACCGTCTGGGTTCATTAACTCGTTTTTATGTTTTTCTTTTTCTTCTTTCTTTTCTTCTTCCTTCTACCTCTTCTTCAAGATAGGGTGTTGTATAGTAAAGGCTAACTTGAAGAATTGGCTGTGTAGGTAAGTTAGCCTAAAACTCTTGATTCTCTTGCCTCCACTTCACAAGTGCCGATATTATAATCGTTGACTATTCGCCATGACTGGTTTCAAGATTTATGCCATAACAGGGTTTTTTGATTATAGTTTTGAGATTGGATCACTGAAGCAGTATTGGCAACCTTCGTGGTAGGTCAGCCACAGGGTGGAGGCAGGCAGCCACAGAGTTGATGACAATTTGGGGGAAGTTGGTTGGTGGTCTGACATTTGCTGGTTTTGTGTGGACTTGCTAGCTTAGCTTAGCTTCCTTAGCAAGGAAGAGCTCCCTGGAACCAGAGGGACTGTTCCTGGTGTTCTTTCAGCACCCTCTACTGAGAGAAAAGGGGAAATGATCGCCCAGCAGGCAACCACCTGCCAATGCCGGAGGCTCCTCCTTTAAACTACAGAATGATATTCTGTGATGCAGTTAGGGAACTGGCTTAAGTATGAGTTGTGATGAGTTTAAAAATTCAGACTCTGGGATTTTTACTAGTGAATTTAAAGCTATTTGAAACCATCTCAAATACTTTCTAGATAACTCTCTTGAGAAGCCTGTCTTCTATGTGTTGGGTATATACTGTTATCTTTCTTGTCTTTTTATTTTTGTTTTTTGATTTTTCAAAACAAGGTTTTTCTGTATAGTCCTGGCTGTCCTGCAACTCACTCTTTAGATCAGGCTGGCCCTGAACTCAGAGTTCTGCCTGTCTCTGCCTCCTGAGTGCTGGGATTAAAGGTGTGTGCTAATATACCCAGCATGATATTGCCCTTTCTAGGTGCCTCTTCTGTAGTCTGCTTTAAAATTTCTTCTTTTTAAGAATTTTAGGTGTATGGGTATTTTTTTTTTCTTCACATGGTCTGTGAACCATGTATATGATCAGTGTCCTTAGAGGCCAGAAGAGAAGTTTCAGATTTCAGACTGGAGTTACTGATGGTTGTGAGCTGCCTTATGGATACAAGGAATTGAACTGTAGTCCTCTGTAAGAGCAGGCAATGTATTCTTAGCTACTAAGACATCTGTCCCATCCTCCTTTTTCTGTTTTCTTAATGCCCATTCTTAAAAAAAAAATACATGTATTGGTATATGTGTATGCGTGCCACAGCACACATGTGGAGGTCAGAGAGTCAGTTCTATCTATCCTTCCACTGTGTGGGTCCCAGGGATCAAACTCAGGTTGTCAGGCTTGGCAGTAGTCACCCTTAGCCATTGAACCATCTCGCTGACCTAGTGCCTCTTAAATCTGTATTATCCATATGAAATTGTTTTAATTAAGAAAAAAGCATTTCCTTGCGGGGGAGAAGTGGGCTAAGAAAAAGATAGCCATTTTAAAGCAAATAATTTATTTGGTTTTCGCTGTACAAATGGAATTACCCATGAATAATTTCCTCCTGTTCAATTCATCTGTATTTTTATTACCCTGATGGGCTGAGAAGGATCTCCAGCATAGTATTAGAAGAAAAGTGACAGTTAAGGCAGTTTTCTTTTTTGTTGCTGTTTAAAAGAGTTAAAAAATATATATTTGATTATTTACCTCTGATTCTGGGAATCAAACCCAGGTCTTTGCACATGCCCAGCAAACACTTTTTTTTTCTTGTAATAATTCATTTATCTTTATTTTATGTGCATTGGTGTGAAAGTGTCAAATCACCTGGAACCAGATTTATAGACAGTTGTAAGCTGCCATGTGAGTGCTGGGAATTGAACCTGGGTCCTCTGGAAGAGCAGCCATGCTCTTAACCACTGAGCTATCTCCCCAGCCCCAGCAAGCACTCTTATTTTTGATGTATATCCTTACCCTCATGGCATAGTCTTGATTTAAAATTTTTTCATTGATATAGAAATTGTACATGGTTCTGGGTTACAGAAAGTCAATTTTGTTTGTTTTGTTTTTTGAGACAGGGTTTCTCTGTGTAGCCTGGTTGTCTTAGAACTCACTCTGTAGACCAGGCTGGGCTTGAACTCACAGAGATCCACCTGCCTCTGCCTCCCAAGTGCTGGGATTAAAGGTGTGCGCCACCACTGGCAGTCTAAGGCCATCTTTATTTAAGTATATCTTACTTTGAGCAAGTTGTCTCCCATGCCCTCTTATCTGCAGTCTTCACTCTCCCTCTCCCATTAGTCCCCATTGTTTACCCTAGACAGTTTTATTTCTAATTTTATCTATAAGTACATGATTTTTTATATCTGCTTAAAATCTAGGAGCCACAGATGAGAGAAAATGTGGTCTATTCTGAGACTGCTTAGTTCATCCTGAACTTTTCGTTAGCAGTCCTTTAAGGTTAAGGAAGAAGGTATTTGCTGCAAATCCCCATGCTAGTTCTTTAGCATGTTGAGGGAGTTGTCCCTAGTATGTTTGCATGGGTTTTGAATATTGGCAGTGCTGTTCTGCACCTATGGGAATAGGCCTGGGGATTCTGCTGATGTGACACTCTTACCTTGAAAGTAATAATTACTGCGTCTTTTGCTTCCTATGCCCAGGTGACCTGTGGAGCTATGATTTCTTCAGTGGTGAGTTTGTGGTGTCACCTGAACCAGACACAAGTGTCCACACTCTTGACCCCCAGAAGCACAAGTACATTATCCTGGGAAGTGATGGACTTTGGAATATGATTCCACCTCAAGATGCCATTTCCATGTGCCAAGACCAAGAGGAGAAAAAATACTTAATGGTGAGAAGGGACTCTGGTTTGATACTGTCTAAAGTGTTTGGCTTATGTTGTCCATGGTCGTGAGTTTAGCTAAGAATGTTCATCTTATGTCTCATCTTTGTTCTCAACAAACCACCCCTTAACCATTTCTAGTCACTGTCCTCCTTTTCTCATATGCCTTCCAATCACTGGGCTTCTTGGTTCTTATATACTTGCCTACTTTGGATATTTCTTATAAGTACAATCGTATTACAGGGCCTTTTAAATCTAGTTTTACTTAGTATAACATGCAAAGTGGAGTTTGTTCTCTGGCATTGAGGATTGAATTCATAGTTTAGCAGATGCTGAGCAAGTGCATTAGCCCTGAGCTGCACCTCCAGGCTTTTTAAAAAACTTTACTAAGATAGGTTCTCTTCTAAATTGATTAGGTTGACCTAAAATTTATGTCTCATTTTGGGGTTAATCCTCCTCCTTACCTACCTGATAGTTGAGATTACATGCCTGTACCACCATGCCTCAGGTTCAATCCTCTGCACCTAATCTAGAAAACAAATGGACTGTATAAATATCAATCTCATCAAATGTGAGTTTGGTAAAGCTAAGAGTTGTCGAAATGCATTTTTATTACCCAGAAACTTAGTGTATTATTACAGTTAGTGGTTACCTGATAACAAAGATGAGATAACTTGTGGGGTGGTGGTGGCACACACTTTTATTCCAGCACTCGGGAGGCAGAGGAGAAGCAGCTGGCCTGGCAGACATAGTGAGTTCCGGGACAGCCAGAGCTATACAGGGAGACCCTGTCTCAAAAAAAAAAAAAAGCTTTTGTGGAATTATTTTTCTCCATGGTGCTTTGCTGGGAAGTAAAGATGTGCTGAAAAAGTGAAAGGCAAAGGAATGCTTCACAGTGAGTCCTCCCGATGGCTGGTGTTGTCCCGAAGAGTTCAGGAACGCAGGAATTAGCAGTGAATACTGACACTGCCCAGATAGTTTAGACTCATACTTTCCACCTTTGGTTTGGTTGGGTTTTTTGAGACAGGCTCTCACGTAGCCCAGTCTGGTTTCAGACTCAGGCACCCGAGGCTGGCCTTGCACTCCAGATCCTCCTGCCTTCACGAGTGTAGGATTCCAGGTGTGCACCATCATGCCTGTCTCCCCTTTTTCCATCACTAAAATTAGAATCCTTTTTCTAAATGGTATAGTAATTTAATAGGCAGTGACTTTTCTTTTATGGTATATAAAGTTTTTATAGCTCAAAGCTCATGATACTCCATATTAAAAGCACTTCTGGGGACTGGAGAGATGGGCTCACAGGTTAAAAGCACTGACTGCTCTTCCAGAGATCCTGAGTTCAGTTCTCAGCAACCACATGGTGGCTCACAATCATCCGTTATGAGATCTGGTGCCCTCTTCTGGTGTGCAGATATACATGGAAGCAGAATGTTGTATACATAATAAATAAATTCTTCAAAAAGAAAAGAAAAACATCATGCTATTCTTGGTGTAAAAAAAAAAAAAAAAAAAAAGAAAGCACTTCTGACTGTAGTGGTGAACATCTATAAACATGGTAACTGGGTTGTAAGGCAGGAAGACAAAGAGTTCCAGGCCAGCCTGGGCCACACAGTGAACTCTAGGATATTCTGACTCTTTTGTGTGTTACCAGTGTGGGTCCGTGTTCTAGGGCACCAATGATCTTCCTACTGTTTCCTGAGTAGCTGGCACTACTGGTACATGTCACCATGGCGAGCTCAGAAGCTCTTTTTTTTTTTTTTTTTTTTTTTTGTTTTGGTTTTTCCGGACAGGGTTTCTCGGTGTAGCTTGGGAGCCTATCTTGGTACTGGAGACCAGGCTGGCCTTGACTCACAGAGATCCACCTGCCTCTGCCTCTGCCCCCGCCTCTGGAGTGCTGGAATTAAAGGTGTGTGCCACCAACACCCGGTCAGAAGCTCTTCTTTTAGGAAGAAATTGGCCCCTGCAGCCTTTTTCTACCATGCCTAATTGTCTTATTTGTTAATTATATTTATAATATTTACTTCCTTTTAAAGATTACTTCTCAGCCAGGTGGTGTCGGCACATGCCTTTAATCCCAGCACTTGGTAGGCAGAGGCAGGTGGATCTCTGTGAGTTCAAGCCCAGCCTGGTCTACAAGAGCTAGTTCCAATAGCTAGGACTACACAGAGAACTACACAGAGAAACCCTTTTTTGAAAAAACAAAAACAAATGAACAAAAAAAAAAAAAAAAAAAAAGATGACCTTTCTGTAACTTTTCTAAAGTTAGAGAAGACCAAACTTTTTGATTGAAGAGATAAAGATACATGAATGAACACTTGTTGCTGTTTGTTTTGAGGTAGGTCTTCCTTATATCGCAGCCTGGTAGTGGTCCTCTTCTTCAGCCTTTTCAGTGCTGAAATTAGAGGTTTGTACCATCACACCTGGCACATCTGTGTCAAATTTAACCACAAGATAAGATTATATTTTATTCTGTTATTTTTTTATTTTTGAGGCTGAGTCTCTATTGCTCTGGCTGTCTTGGAACTTACAGGCTGGCCTCAAACTCTCAGAGATCTGCCTTTCTGTGTCTTGAAGTGCTGGGAATAAAGACGTGCGCTAACATGGCCTGCCAACCTTATTTTAGTTTTTAAATTTACAGATGCATTATTTTAGCCTGATTATAGAGATTAAGAATTGAATTTTGCCCAGTGTTGGTGGTGCACACCTTTGATCCCAGCACTTAGGAGGCAGAGGCAGGTGGATCTCTGTGAGTTCGAAGCCAGCTTGGTCTGCAGAGCGAGTTCTAGACAGCCTCCAAAGCCACAGAGAAACCCTGTCTTGAAAAAAAAACAAACAAAAGAATTGAATTATTTACTCATTCAGTTATACTTAGCATTTTTTAAATAAAAATATTTTTAATGTTTTTGTTTCATTGTGTTTCCGAATATGGTTGTGCATTTGTGTTGGTCAGAGTGCAGTCTGAAGGGGACCTGCTCCCTACTACCATGTGGGTCTAGGAGACTGACCTGGTGAAATTGAGTCATTAGGCTTGGTGACAGACTAGATCCACCCAGGCTTTTAATTTGATACATATGTATTGGTAAGTAAATGAGAGTTAATGGTCTTCCTTCTCCTTGTTCTTTTAAATATAGGGTGAGCATGGACAATCCTGTGCCAAAATGCTTGTGAACCGAGCCCTTGGCCGCTGGAGGCAGCGTATGCTCCGCGCAGATAACACGAGTGCCATTGTAATCTGCATCTCTCCAGGAGCAGACAATCAGGGGAACTTCACCAATGAAGATGAGCTCTTTCTGAACCTGACTGAGAGCCCTACTTACAACAGCCAAGAAACCTGTGTGATGACTCCTTCCCCAAGTTCTACACCTCCAGTCAAGGTATTCAGTGCTACAGGGTGTGTGTGTCTGTGTGTGTGTGTGTGTGTGTGTGTGTGTGTGTGCGCGCGTGCGTGCAAATTTGTAGTCTCCAGAGTCAACCTTGTGTTTTTCCTTAGATGCTGTTTAGTTTTCTGAGATGAGGTCTCATTGGAACCTGGAGCTCAACCAAGTAGTTTAGACTGACTGGTCAGCAAGTTTCAGGCTTTCGGTAAATCCCAGCCTGCAATTACAACTGTGTGCCATCATCCCTAGTTTTTTACAAGGGTTCTGAGGATCAAACTCAGGTCCTAATACTTACATAGGAAACACTTTACTCCCTGGGAGTTCTTCAGACCATTCTACAGTTTGAAAGTTATGTTAGTATTACATAAAATTTATGCTTAGAGTGTTTATTTTATTTTGAGTGTGTGCTTACTTTTCTATTGCTGATTAGACACCATGACCAAGACAACTTCTTTTTTTTTTTTTTTTTTTTAAAAAAGATTTTTTTTTTTTTTATGATAAAAATTTTTGAAAGGATGGTTGTGAGCCACCATGTGGTTGCTGGGAATTGAATTCAGGACCTCTGGAAGAGTAGCCAGTGCTCTTAACCTCTGAGCCATCTCTCTAGTCCCCCAAGACAACTTATAAAAGAAAGTGCTTAATTTGGGTTATGGATTTAGAGGATTAGAGTCCATGATGGTAGAGTGAAAGAACAGCTAAAAGCTCATTTTAATTTTTTAAGATTATTTCATTGAATGTATGTCTGGTGGCCTCAGAGGTTCTATAGAAGAAAACATTGAATTCCTTGGAGCTGGAAATATGGACAGTTGTGAGCTGCACTGTGGGTTTTGGGAATTTAACCTGGGTCTTCTGCAAAAGTAAGTTTTTTGTTTGTTTGTTTGTTTTCTTTGTTTTTTTCTTCGAGACAGGGTTTCTCTTGTTTTGGAGCCTGTCCTGGAACTCTCTCCGTAGACCAGGCTGGCCTTGAACTCACAGAGATACACCTGCCTCTGTCTCCCGAGTGCTGGGATTAAAGGCATGTGCCACCAAGGCCTGGCCCCAAATGCAAGTACTCTTAACTGCTGAGCCATTTGTCAGCCCTGAGAACTCACATCTTGATCCACGAAGAGGAGAGAGAGATATGAGAGAGAGTGGGGGGGGGTGGGGGGAGTACTGGGGGTCTCTCAAATCTTTTGAAACCTCAAAATCTGCCCTCAGTGACACACATTCCCCAGCAAGAGCATACTTCCCAAACAGTTCTACCAGTTGGAGACCAAGTATTCATTTGTTATATTTTGTTTTTTGAGACTGGGTTTCTCTGTGTCCTAGCTGTACTGGAACTCAATCTGTAGACCAGGCTGGCCTCGAACTCACAGAGGTCTGTCTGAGTCTGCTTCCAAAGGCCTGGGATTAAAGATATGAGCTACCACCTGGCTGTTTGTTTTTGAGACAAGGTCTCATGTATATATAGCCCATGGTGATCTCAGACTGGCTGTGTAGCTGAAGATGACCTTCAGATCCTGGTCCTCTTGCCTTGATCTCCCAAGTGCTTACATTTATCTACAATCATACCTGGTTAACTAAAACAGAACTTCAGATTTGAAGTAAGTTAAAAAAAATGATGGATCTTTGCTATATAATTGATTTCTTGGAAGAATTCCTTTCCCTCTGCCCAGATATGTAGCCAGGTCCTTGTAAATGCTGGGCACATTGTCACTAAACCATATCCTTGGTTCTTTAGAGAGCTGTCTTCATAAAGGACTAATTTGAAGTCAACTGTGTGTGAGTGTGTGTGTGTGTGTGTTTGTATCTTAATAGAAAAATGTTTGTGGACGATGATAAATGTTAACATGTAAAATTTATTGATCCCTTTTATGAACCTATGGACATTTGTAAAACTTTTGTAAATATGTGAGGCACTTAGATGCTTAATTGTTCATTTAAACCTATAATCCAGAGCTATCTTGATATGATCCATGTTATCAATAACAACACTGAGATTAAATATTTTGAGCAAAGTCATATAGAATCAAGATTGAACTGGTCCTTAGGATATTGGACCTTAGGCTTGCCTTTTTAAATTATCATGGGTAAGAAACAGTAATGTCTTATTTTAGTTGTTTGATTCATTATTTCAGGCCTCCAACCCAATCCTCCTACCTTTGTGCTTGGTTACAGGAGTATGCCACCATGCCTGACTATTCTTATTTTTTAGTGAAAATTAAAATGGAATGAGTTTAAGATGTGCTGAGCCAGAGCTAGAGAGAGATGGCTCAGTGATAAAGAGTGTTTAACTGCTGCTCACTTAGGGGCTTGAGTTTGATTTCCAACACCCATACCAGGCTGCTCAAAACCACATGTGACTCCAGCTCCAGTGGACCTGACACCTTGTTCTGGCCTCCTGTGTATCCACACCCATACATAAAAAGAAGTTAAGTCTTTTAATAAAAAGTATGCTGAGGAGCAAAGTTAAATGAGTACAATCTTTCTGTTTATTGACTTACTTAGAACTCAGTTTACCTGGCTTTGTGAGAGTTTATTTTTTAGGAGGTTGTCCACTAAAGTGGGAAATAAAGCAGCATGCTACGTCACCTATTAAGCAAATATAAAAAGTGTCAATGAGCTTTTTTAAAAATAGACTCTCTGTAGCCCAGGCTGGCCTTGAACTCCTGCTTCTCCTGATTCCCCCTCCCACATGTTGGGATTTCAGCCATGCTCTATCACACAGGCTTTAGAAGCACTTTTAATTTAGGTATTGTGGTCCTGCAAGTCAGTATCTGGGAGTTTATTATTACTGTTTTGCTACCTCTTCACACTTTAAGGTGAAGCATAGTATTTTATTACTAATTGACAATAATTTTTTGGGGGGTCTTATTTGCTTGCTTTTTTCACTAGGATAGAGTTGGGGTCTAGTGGATGCTACACAAGCACTCTACTGCTAAGTTATATTCCAGTTCATTGCTTTGGGATGGCCTTGAACTTAACGTATAGCCTAGGCTTACCTTGAACTTGCGGTTCTCCTGTCTTAGCCTCCTGAATAGCTATGTTTACAGGCTTGCTTTATAGTTTCAGCTAACTTACAACTTAGAAGTGAATTTTTTCTCATGTGTTAGGCATCAAACTCAGGGAAGCATTTTGCCACAGAGTTGCCATACTTATCCCTTACACTAATTTTCTTTTCTTTTTGTTTTTTGAGACAGGGTTTCTCTGGATAGCTCTGGCTTTCTGGACTTGCTTTGTAGACCAGCTGTCCTTGACCTCACAGAGATCTGTCTGCCTCTGTCTCCCAAATACTGTGATTAAACTCATACATCATCGTGCCCATCTTCTTTTTAAATTTATTGCTGTGTGGGTTGTGTGTGCCACAGTATGCATGTGGCAGTCAGAGGACAACTTTGTGGATTTGTCTTTCTCCTCTTGCTTTTGTGTGGGTTCTGGGGATTGAACTAAGTTTGCCAGGCTTATGTTGCAAGCATCTTTTGCCTTACATACTGAATCATCTCACCCGTTCATAGTACTGAAAAAAATAAAAAATTTTGTTTGTTTGATGTTAAGTTTTTGAAATAGGGCCTTCTGTATCACAGGCTGCCTTCAGACTCTATGTACTTGAAGCTGGCCGTGAACTTCTGATTGTTTTTTCTTCATCTCCCAAGTGTGTTGGCATTGCAGGTGTGCAATTGCACACTTGGCTTGCTTAAAAGAAATTTCATGTTTCTTTCCAAGGCAGGCATGGTTGTAGGTGCCTCTCTGACAGCATGGGTAGAAGGATCATAGGTTCAAGGAAGGTTATATTAGTTTCTTGTTCCCTAACAACTCATGTAGTGATTCCTGCTATAATTCCAGAACCTGAACGAGTGGGGAGGTTTAGACATGAGGATCACTGCAAGTCTAAAATGAGCTTGGGCTACAGGGTGAGATACTGTCACAACAAAAATTTCTTAGCAAGTGATTTCTTGGAGTGTCTTGGGTAATATTAGCAAGACCCTCTCTTGGAAAGGAAAAGGAGGGACTAGAGAGATATCTCAGTGGATAAAATACTTGATGTGCAAGCATGACTTGCTCAAGATGATTTGTATGCGCATCCCCAGAATCCGTGTGAGAGGTGGGCATATCATGAGAACATTTGTAATCCCAGCACCTCTATGGGAAGATGGAATGTAGAGAAAGGAGAATCTCTGGATGCTCATGAGCCTGCCAGCCTGGCACACACAACAGAAAAGAAAACAAAGTGCTCTTGTCTTTTCAGACAAGGTAGAAGTCTAGGACCAACACCCAAGGTTATCCTCTGACCTCTCCTTGTGCCATGACACACAAGCACCTGTAGTCACACACAGAAATGTACACACATATACTGCATATACGAATATATACACGGAAACCTGGCAAGGTGTCATGCACATGTAACTCTAGTGCCTGGCTGCCATTCATGACCTGTTTTCTCAGCTTATGTCTGCTGTCTAATGTCTGTCAGATGGGTAAATTATTGTCTGTCTGAGTTTCTATTATGACATAATAACGTTAATTTTGTATTTCACATTTCCTACATGGGTAATAGTCACAAATTAGAATTTAGGAAGGAAACATTTTTATAAGGAAAACTCTAGAAAATTTTCACTCATTATACTGAGTCCCTCTGTCACCAATGTTCAACCTAACTAGTTTTAACAAGGTTTTGTCAGGAGGCCATTTAGAGGACTGGGGATGTAGCTGAGTTGGCAGAGAGCTTGCCTACCTTGCATGAAGCTTGATTCCTTGTGCTAAATAAATCTGAGTGTTGGCCTGTTCCTATAATCTAGCACTAGGTAGTAGAAGCAGAAGAATCAGAAGTTCAAGGTCCTCCATAGTTATATAGCAAGTTCAACACCAGCCTGGATTACACGACACACTGTCCTCAGTTTTTTCTGAAAAAGGCCATTTAGGGCCGTGGACATAGCTTGGTTGATGATAGTGCTTGCTGCCTAAGTTCAGCCCTGGGACCTGCCCAGTAGAAGCAGAGAACACTTGTAACTTGTCCTCTGACTTCTGCATATGCATAATTGTCGCGCTTGTGCTCACACACATACATTTTTGAAAAGTGTAGTTGACAAAAATTTTAATTACATTTTATGTGTACATATGTGTTTATACATATATATGCCATGGCAGTGTGCATGTATGGAGATAGGTTTTCTCCTTCTACCATGTGGGTACAGGGGAATTTAACTCAGGTTTCCAGGCTTGGCACCAAGTGCCTTAACCTGCTGAGCCATCTCACTGGCCCATTAAAATTTAATTTTTAAAAACATAATTTAGACTTCGAAGTTTACTTGTACATATATTATATTTTATGTATTATTAGAATATTGTAAGCCTTTAGGTATTTAATGCAGTGAATAGGAATTTGCTTTTTTACCCTAATTATGCCATTTTATGTTAAAATTGAAAATGGTTTATGTAGGTAGGTAGGCATTATTTAATTTACCAGAAAGTTGGGATGATGTAATTGGCTTGTCAAATTTTTCATGGGCTTATGGGGGAAAAAAAAAAGGATTTTATGTAAAATAATTCAAGTTATTTCTTCAATAGTTTTTTTTTTTATTACTGCACATAAAATGAAAGTATAGCATATTTGGACTGGCAGTGGTGGCATACAACTTTAATCTCAGCACTGGAGAGATAGAAGCAGGCATATTTTTGAGTTCAAGGCCATCCTGGTGTACAGAGTGAGATTTAGGACAGCCAGGGCTACAAAGAGAAACCCTGTCTTATTAAATAAGGAAATGAGGAAGGAAAGAAAGAATATGGAGTTTGGATAAAGAAAATATCAATAGCAGTAATTTTGCTCTTTTCTGCATCTGGCACAGTGTGAACAGCTTGGCTATTTTAAGAGGTCTGTTTTGAGGCTTTGAAGTATCCTATTTGGTCCCGGCCGTAGTTGAGATGTACCTGTAAGCAGGAGTCTTCTCTATCTGTTGTGATGAAGGTGGGGCTCTTCTTTTGTTGCCTTTGTATTGATTGCCTTGCAACACTCCTCCCCTCCAACCTGGTGCAGTAAATATATGGTGAAGGAAGTGAGTGCATTCTACGGTTTTATTTATTTTTCCTTTTCTTTTTCTAGTCACTGGAAGAAGATCCTTGGCCAAGGCTCAACGCTAAGGACCATATACCTGCCCTTGTTCGTAGTAATGCCTTCTCAGAGAAGTTTTTGGAGGTCCCAGCTGAGATAGCTCGAGGGAGTATCCAGACTGTAGTGATGACCTCAAAAGATTCAGAGGTACTTGAAGAAAATTGTCCCAAAGCCCTGACTTTAAGGATTCATGATTCTTTGACTAATACCCTGTCAGTTGGTCTTGTGCCGACTAACTCAACAAATACTATCATGGACCAAAAAAATTTAAAGATGTCAACTCCAGGTCAGATGAAAGCTCAAGAAGTTGAAAGAACCCCTCCTGCCAATTTTAAAAGGACATTAGAAGAATCCAACTCTGGCCCCCTTATGAAGAAGCACCGACGAAATGGCTTAAGTAGAAGTAGTGGGGCCCAGGCTTCGAGTCTCCCTGCAGCATCCCAGCGCAGACACTCGGTCAAACTGACCATGCGGCGTAGACTCAGGGGACAGAAGAAGATTGGAAATCCTCTTCTACAGCAGCACCGGAAAACTGTGTGTGTGTGCTGAGATGGGCCTGAGAAGTGGGCTCTTCCTATCTAGGATGCGAGGGCTTTTTAAACTTGGTGCAGAAGTTGAACTTTTTTTAAGGGGACAAAATAAAGTGTATACAGTTTGACTTTTTGGAATTTAACAGTTTTATCCTGGCCTTGTACTTGCCTGTATTATAAATGTGAATTTTGTAGATGTAGGGAATTAAGTTGCTGTAAAATGTGTGTAAATTTGTATCCTTTACACAAATTCAGTCTCTTACTCTGACACAGTAATTGTGACAACAGGGCTAATGTTGAAGAAAAATCAGAAGACTCTGTAAGATTTTAAACGTGTTTAAACTTTTTAAAATGCTTATTATACACTTGTATACAACACTTGTGAAGAACACACAACTTTTTAAAGAAAATTAGTAAGCAAACTGGAAAAGTGATGTATTTTCATAGTGATCTGTGCTCCACTTAATGTTTCTTAGGGACCATTAGTGTCTTTTAAAAGTATTTTATTTCTCATTTCATAATCTATAACTAAACATTTCATAGGAAAAGCATTGAGCCATGCTAACGTAGCTGATTTTAGTCTCCTTGTCCCACTTAGACTATGCAGTATCTCTTAACTTCAGTAGCATTTTTCTAGAACAGTACATCTGATATGCTTACTGAAATTTCTGGCATAGAAGGAGGTGTGTTTGCCTCATACACCATCCCAGATCAGTGGCATTAGAATATATAGTTACCCTCTTTTAGTGTTTGCTTAAAATACGTGAAGTTTTTCTCGCTATTTCAATAACAGATGGTGCTGCTAATTCCCAACATTTCCTAAATTATTTTATATCATACAGTTTTCATTGATTATTCGAGTATGTCCATTTAATAAATCAGTGAACTGTTGCTCTTTATGTTGCTGGTGTTTTGTTGGTGACTTTTTTTTCTTTCAAGATGGGGCTTCTTTGTGTAGCTTTGGCTGTCCTGGAACTAGCTCTGTAGACCAGGCTGGCCTCGAACTCACAGAGATCCACCTGCCTCTGCCTCCTAAGTGCTAGGACTAAAGGTGTGTGACACTACTACCTGGCTTGTTGGTGACTCTTTATGGTAGGTACTAACAGTTGTGTACATATAATACTCATTGTTTTATACTCTGAGTTCTTATTTTAATATAGATCACATAGAAACAAACTGAATATCTAACAGTATAATTCAGTTATAGCTTGTAAGTGTTCAATAAAACTCTGGCCCCTTTCTTTGGTAATACAATAAAACCTAAAGGAAAATACTAAAGTGCCCAGAGTATATAAATGTGTTATATGTGTAATTGTATTCTTTTTATTTTATTTAATTTTTTTTGTTTTTTTTCGAGACAGGGTTTCTCTGTATAGCTTTGGAGCCTATCCTGGCACTCGCTCTGGAGACCAGGCTGGCCTTGAACTCACAGAGATCCGCCTGCCTCTGCTTCCTGAGTGCTGGGATTAAAGGCGTGCGCCACCAACGCCTGGCCTGTATTCTTTTTAAAATATTTTTTATTTATTGTAATTGTATTCTTAAACTGTTAATTTGGAACAAGAAGCCTCATTGAGGGTTGGTGATGTGGCTGACCTGATAGAGTGCTTGCCTCACACATATGAAGTCCTGGGTTTGACCCCAGAAATGCTTAAACCAGGTATTTTGGCATATGCCTGTAATCCTTGCAGGAGGAGGAGGATCAGGGATTGAAAGTCATCCTCAGCTACAAAGTTTTAGGCCAACCTGAGATACACGAGACTGTCTTAAAACAATAATGCATAAAAAAAAAAAACCAGAGATAAATGTGAGTCAGGAATTATGACCAGGAAAGGTAAAAGGATCAAGGGTTTAATGTCATTGAGTGTTTGCTTACCAGGTGCAAGGCCCTGTATTTTAAAAACACGATTATGATAATTTTGCCTTCATATAAGTATGTACACCATGTAGTGCTCATAGAGGCCAGAAGAGTGTCAGATTTCCTAGAGGCCAGAAGGGTGTGTCAGATTTCCTGGAACTGGAGTTACAAGTTGTGAGACACCATGTGAGTGCTGGGAACTAAATCAAAGTCCTCTGGAAGAGCAGCCAGTGCTCTTAACTGCTGAGCCATTTCTTCAGCCACAAGGCTCTGCATTTGATACTAACTCTAGCAAAACGAAGGTTGACTTTGATATGCTGTTTATTACATTAGGATACTACCTTGTGGGGTAGTACTGTTGAAATACTGAAAACTTTTAGGAGATGGGCCCCATGGGATGTCGTTGGGAATGCTTTTAAATGGAGTTATAGGACCATCTTGATATTAACATGCTAATTGTATACATTAGTTGGTCTCACTGACATGTCTCTTCATTCATGTACTCAGCACTGTTTAGGTCTACTTTTCGCCTCCAACTAACCAATCCTGAATAGTTCCTGAGTTAATTTCTTTTGGTTGTATGAACTTGGATCTGTAGGTTTGTATTCTTTACCAGATTCAGGAATCTTTTAGCTGTTACCAACTTTTTCTAGCACCGCATACTTGTGTTTTAATTTCACTGCACTTTTCTTTGATATTGCATTATATTCTTCCAGTTCTAAAAATTTCATTTGTTTTTCGGTCATTTACTCTTTTTTTTTTTTTTTTTTTTTTTTTTTTGAGACCGTTATGGTATGTAGGCCAGACTAACTTGTTACCAACTTACCTCAGACTCTGGCACCCTGGATTCTAGGCATGCACTACCACAACAGGTGGGGACTTTAGGTTTTTGATCTGTAGTCATTTGAAAGGTTATCTAACATGATAATCTGAAACATGCTCAGCTAGTAATTTATTAAAATAATACGTGGTAATAATCAGAACAAAGACCTACTTCTCTTCCACTCAAAATGAACTTCATAGTTGAGGTTAAGAGAAATGTATGGACATAGCGTAATGCTTGCCTGTAGTGTTAGCATCTGGGGGGTGAGACAAGAGATTGGGAGTTCAAGTTCATCCTCAGCTATTTTAGCGAAGTCATCAGTCTCACTGGGACCAACCAAAGTCAGGTGCTGTATCACAGAACAATGCTAATGAGAGTGAGTATACTGCTACTTATCGACATCTCAGACTGGTGATGAAAACAAATACCAAAGTAAGTGAATTATGAGTGTCTAGTCTGGGTTTTTCCTTTTTTTTTCCTTTCTTCTATTTTTTGAGGCAGTGCCTTACCAGATAGCACAGACTGGCTTCATATGCATTATGTAGCCTAATGTGGCGTCAGATTTCAGTTGTGCCTCAACCTCCTGAGCCCAGTGAGCCTCTAAGGCTAATCAATAATGTTTAATGAGAGTCTTATGTGGCCCAGTCTGGCCTCCAACTTGCACAACCCAGGGTTCAACCACTAGCCTATCCACCACTAGCTGCCTACTCTGTAACTGTTCCCAGCTCTGGCTGTTTACCTATCCCCAATTCCCCTCCACCTGTAGAACTTTCCAACCACCCTCTCCCTTACCAGGTTCACACATACTCGCACATTCCCTTAAGAATTATAGGGGAGACTTGTGGACTGGAGAGATGGCTCAGTGGCTAAGAACACTGGCTCCTCTTCCTGAGGTCCTGGGTTCAATTCTCATATTGAGAATTGACCCATATTGGCAGGTCACAACTCTAAGATCTGACAGCCTCGCAGAGACATACATGCAGGCAAAACACCAATGCACATAAATAAAAAATGAAAAGAATTATAGGGGAGACTTGGGAACAACTAAAAAAAATGATAGTCTTCATCTTGAAAACATCCTTTTCAAGGTGGCCATTGGGGACCTTGGCACCATCTAAGTTCATGTCCTCTTCATATCTGCTGGGAGCATGTGCATATAATCACACACACACACACACACACACACACTCTTTGTGGTTTTTCGAGACAGGGTTTCTCTGTATTAATTTGGAGCCTGTCCTGGAACTCGCTCTGTAGACCAGGCTGGCTTCGACCTCAGAGATCCACCTGCCTCTGCCTCCCGAGTGCTAGGATTAAAGGTGTGTATGTATTTAATGTCTTGTGTAGAATAGGCTGCCTCGAACCCCTATGTAGTGAGGGATGGCCTTGAACATCTGATTCCCTTGCCTTTTCCTTCTAAGTATGATGACAGAAGAGATCTTTAAAATTTCTTTTAAATCACTACTTATTGTGTTGGTGGAGTGGGGGTGGGCATGGGAGCTTTCACGTCATGGAATGTGTGGGGGGTCAGAGGGTAACTTGTTCTCGTCTTCCATGTGAGTCCTGGGCTTTGGCAGTAGAGACCTTTACCTTTCCAATCATCTTGCAAGCCCTGAGAGGAGGATTTTTGACCCTGAAGGATTAATCTAGATGAACTGAACCGCTTGTTACATGGCTACAGTAACTGCCTATTCCCTGCCCAACCCAGGAAACCCTAGAGTCCCATCCAGAGACCACTTGCTTAGTCTGAGAACTACAATGGAAAAAAAATCCTTTCTGCTACCATTTGTGGTCAACTAAGACATTGAAGTCATGAGTGGTCATAGCCCCTGAGCTGTATGCTTCACCTGGGTTCACATCAAAGCTGCAATTTGAGGCAGACAGAAGCGGCACTCTCATTCATAAACGTTCTCATTCATCCCCCCATTTCCTTTTGTTTCTACATTATGAAAAGCTAAATAAGGAAAAAATTCATCACTTGGGAATGATACAGTCATTTGAGGATTTCTCAGTTGAGAAAATGCCTCCCTAAGAGATACGGCACTGGGTAGTGAGTGGTGGTGGATGCCTTTAATCCCAGCATTTGGAAGGCAGAGGAAGGTGGATCTCTAAATTCCAGGACAGCCAAGGCTACACAAAGAAACCTGACTTGAAAATACACACACACACACACACACACACACACACACACACACACACACACACACGGGTAAGTTCTGGCTATGAGGTAAGCCTGTAGGGCATTTTCTCAGTGATTGAAGGGGAGTATACAGCTCATTGTGAATGGTGCCATCCCTGGGCTGATTGTTCAGGGTTCTATAAGAAAGCATGCTGAGCAAGCCACGAGTAGCAAAATCAATAAAGCACTACTTCTTGATAGTCTCTGAACCAGCTTGTGTCAAGTTTCTGCCAGGTTTGAGTTCCTGCCTAGGCTTCTCTCAGTAAACTTGGGATTTGCAAGCTAAATAAAACCTTTCCTCCCTTATTTGTTTTTGGTCCTGGTGTTTCATCATAGCAATAGCAACCGTAACTAAGACATGGCCATGGAAATGACTTTTTTGGCCTTGACTATGACCCACCCCCAACTCTTGACATTGATGACAATACCTAACCAGCCTACTTTCATTCCTTTAATCTGTATCATAGACAACTGTCTTTTTATTCATGCCTTTGGTTATACCTAGCTGCCTATTCCCTTTCTAGGCAGGGGCATCATGTCCAAATCCCAGGCCCATTTATGCCTTCTTAAAGACTTAAGAGTTTATTAAGATTTTTTTTTTGAGGGAAAGAGTCTCAAACTTGATGCCATTGGACTGGCTTGGAACTTGCTATGTACACCAGGCTAGTCTCTGCCTCCCAAGTACTGGGATTACAGGCATGTACTATCCCAATCCTTTAAAAATAGAGTTTAGGCCGGGTCGTTGGTGGCACACGTCTTTAATCCCAGCACTCAGGAGGTAGAGGCAGGTGGATCTCTGTGAGTTCGAGGCTAGCCTGGTCTCTAGAGCGAGTGCCAGGATAGGATCCAAAGCTGCCAGAGAAACCCTGTCTTGAAAAACCAATAAATAAATAAATAAAAATAAAAAAGAATTTAAACATAGATTTAGGCACAGGGTTAATACTTGCTAAGGGGAAAGATAAAGCACTGCTACCAGCAAGAGTGTGGGTTTCTCAAGTTGAGAGTTCCCGGTCTATGATTTGTTGAAACTCCAGGGACCCTA